GCGATGACAAATACAGTAGGTGAGGGCCACTACGTACTCCCGTCTTTAATCTCGCGAACTAATGACCATCCGAGTCCACTAAAAACAATATCACAATAAGTTACAGTGAAATTGAAATCGGTTTAAAAAAATATTCATCCTTCAACTCGAAATGATGACCTCGGTGGTCTAGCGGTCTAGCGCACCGTTTGCGACCGATGGTCGCGGGTTCGATTCCTAGCACGGTGCAAACATTTGTATTCATGAGTTTGATTGTTTATTTCTATGTATAATATGTATGTTTTACAAAGTAACAAATATCTATGTACTAATATCAGTTGTCTAGTACCCATAACACAAGCTTTGCTTAGCTTGGGACTGTGTGAATTATACTGTGACTAGCTACTCGCCCCTGCTTCGCCCGGGTGTACATGTATTATATATAATAATAATAATATAATAATCCCAGGACAATTCACACAGCGCCATCTAGAGCCGAGTTAAGCTAGCTAAAGCTTGTGTTATGGGTACTAGATAACTGATACATATACACAGATATTTTTTTTTAAAACACCCAGACTAGAATTGGTTGGCATATACATATGTATCCATACGTAACAGTGATGGTAATAATTGAAATTTCCGCCCGTAGGAAATGGTAAATAGATATCCGCCGAGGGTCCCGACGCGGCGACGGTAGGGTTCCCCGCAGGCCTGGCTAACTCACTTAGTGACAACACACACAAACATACACTTACATTATATTAGTTACTAGCTGTTCCCGCCACTTCGTCCGCGTGGAATTTAGTTTTATTTTTCTAATATAAAAGTTGCCTAAGTTACTCCTTATTACATCAGCTACCATCCTAAAAAAGTCCCATCAAAATCGGTTCAGCCATTTCAGAGATTAGACGGAAGAAACACATAGACAAAAGTTGTAAAAAATGATATTTTGGTGTATGTACCGTATTTATATTCATATGCACGTAGTAAAAAACGGTTATTTCAATATTACAAACAGACACAAGTTTTGTACGTTCTTCTTGTGATGAGTCTGCGTTCAAGAAAATGTGACTATCAAAAAGTGCTTATATTAAGTTTATTTATATAAAGATCATTTATATTTCTTTATCCTCTTTAAATTGTTTGAAAGTACGTGTTTGACTTGACTGTATGTGTTAACGTTTACGTTTCAATTTGCAACTATACATATCGTCCATTAAATAGAAAACTATAAAAATAATAGACAAAAATTATAAAAAAAATTATTTTGGTACATACACCAAAATATTTTTTTATTTATATTCGGTATATATAAAGAACGGTTATTTCAATATTACAAACAGACACTCCAGTTTTATTGCAATTGCCATAAAACGAATTACTAACTTTAGCCAAACGACATTTAGGTAAAATCAGTTTGTTATTGTTACGTAAGCTTTTATTGGTACAATCACTAATTCTTTTGAAACTGTCTATATTCCTTCTAGCATAGATGATATTTTCATAAATATATTGAGAAGCAACGGTAAGGATATTTGATTCCTTAAAGCACTCTTGTAAAGACTCCCTGGAACCCATACTATAAATGTAGTGCGAGTACTCAACGATACTCAACAACTGTGAGTTTATTTACTGGCCGGCCTGGAATATTGTTTAGAATAGAATAGAATAGAAATCATTTATTCAAATAAACTTACATTGAAGCACTTTTGAATAGTCATTACATTTTTTTAATCTACCGCTCATTCGGAAAGCTGTCTCATTACAAGAAGAACGAGCAAGAAACTAGCGTGTTGCTCTTTTAAATAATTTTATTATTACTTTACAATTTAAGTTTAAGTGTGTGAATACAAACTACCGATTAACACTAATTCAATTAAATAATCAAATAGAAAAAATATTGAATACACAACAACTGGTTATACAATTAATAAGAGGAAATCAGTCATAGTGATAAGAGCAGACGAGTCCCTACAATTCCTCGACGAGGCACCCTTAATCATCTTTCATTTCATAAAGATAATGTGTAGATATTCTTTATGTAAGAAATAACTTATTTCTTACATAAAGATGCTCATGGGCGGCGGTAGTCACTTACCATCAGGTGAGCCGCATGCTCATTTGTCCCCTGTGTTATAAAAAAAAAATCTCTTTCTGTAGCATACACATATATTTACTTGAAAAAACATTTCTTTAAAAGAGCAACACACAAGTGTCTTGCACATTCTTCTTGTGATGAGTCTTCGTTCTGATTGAGCGGTAGAATCAAGAAAATGTGACTATCAAAAAGTGCTTATATTAAGTTTATTTATATAAAGATTATTATATATTTCTTTACCGTTTTTCAATTGTTTGAAAGTAGACTGTATGTGTTTACGTTTACGTTTCAATTTGCAACTATACCTACATATGTGAAAATATGCTCCAGATCCAAATCTCAACTCATAGTGCGAGTACTCAACGATACTAAACAACTGTGTGGTTATTTACTGGCCGCCCTGGAATATTGTTTACCTACCTACCTATCATGACCCACTTACGTATTTTATATCTCTACTAACTATTACACGCGAGTTCGTCCGCGTGGAATTTAATTTTTTTAAAATTAAAATATCTTTTCTGAAATTAAAATAAATTGAGTAGTTTCTTTGGGCATTAGCTATCTGCGAGTGAAAGTCTCGTCAAAATTGGTTCAGTCGTTTCAAAGATTATCAAGGACAGACGGACAAAAACTGATTTTTAAAATTATTTTTTGACATAAGTAGCGAATCATGTGTTAGTAGCTGTACCCGCGACTTCGTCCGCATGGAATTTAACAAATAAGTTAATTACAGTAGAGAATCTTTCTAAAATAAAAGTAGCCTAAGTTACTCCTTATTACATCAGCTCCCTGCCAAAAAAGTCCCGTCGAAATCGATCCAGTCATTTCAGAGATTAGCCGGAACAAACGGACAGAAAGACAAAAATTTTACAAAATGGTATTTTGTTGTATGTACCGTATTTATATTCATGTAGATTTAGTAAAAAACGGTTATTTCAATTACAAACAGACACTCATTTTATTTATATGTATAGATGTATAGATTACAAATAGACACTTTAATTTTAATTATTTAGTTGTAAGTAATTAATAATAAATATCAAATCAAAAATGTCGATGTCAGATATTTCCTTAAAAAAAAAAAAAAACCCTACTCCAAACATAAAAACAAAATGCAATCAATCTGAAAGTATGTATATTCAAAGAAATAATTTCCCAAATTTCAAAGACCGAGTTATAAATTAATCATCATTACATAGTATAAAACAAAGTCGCTGTCGCTGTCTGTCCGTCCCTATGTATGCTTAAATCATTAAAACTACGCAACGGATTTTGATGCGGGTTTTTTTAATAGATAGAGTGATCCAAGAGGAAGGTTTATAGCTTTGCACGGGTGTACATGTAATATATATAATATATATTACATGTACACCCGTGCAAAGCCGGAGCGAGTAGAGTTATCCAAAAAGAAAATGTACCATGTCAGGTTGATCTCCATACGGCTCCTCTTGGAAATCATCATGGATTTTGGAAGCGGTTTTTTTTAATAGATAGAGTGATTCAAGAGGAAGGTTTATATATATAATACATGTACACCCGTGCGAAGCCGGGGCGAGTATCTAATATTAATAAAAATATAATATAATAATAATTAAAAAAGAAAACAATCAAATTGAGAACCTTCTACTGTTTTAGAGTTACAAATATCACTTTTCCCCCTTGGCCTGTCGGTGTTTTTTTTTTAAGCCGCAAGTACTTTTTTGCGACGTACTTTTTGCCACTACTGTTTACTGTTGTAATTCACCGCAAGTCTTTCGATATGGAGGACTTAACATTGATGTCATAACATCTTTTTTATGTAATTGGCAATGGTTGACGGCCTATTTGATGGTATGTGGTAACTGGTGACCGTCGTCTGTATACAATAATATATAAATATATATAATAAATAAATAAAATTTATTTTGAAAAAATATTTATTAGACAAGATTTATTATAGCACTAGCTTTTGCACGCGGCTTCGCTCGCGTTAATTTATCCCCTCAGGGGTGGAATTTATCAAAATCCTATCTTAGGGGATACCTACGTCATAGTAGCTTTATGCATGCAAAGTCTCAGCCCGATCGGTTTAAAATTGACAAAGTTTCATACAAACTTTCATCCCCTATTTGATCCCCTCGGGGGTAGAATTAATCAAAATCCTTTCTTAGCGGATGCCTACATTATAACATCTACCTGCATGCCAAATTTCAGCCCGATCCGTCCAGTGGTTTGGGCTGTGCGTCGATAGATCACTACGTCAGTCAGTCACCTTTGAGTTATATATATAATATTTAGATAAACGAATTTCTGGGTGACGAACAATCCTACAATCATTACGTAGTATAAAACAAAGTCGCTGTCGCTGTCTGTCCGTCCCTATGTATACTTAAATCTTTAAAACTACGCAACGGATTTTGAAGCGATTTTTTTAAAGAGTGATTCAAGAGGAAGGTTTATATGTATATTACATGTACACCCGTGCGAAGCCGGGGCGACTAGCTAGTAATATATATATATTGTCTTCAATCGTATTTGTACTTATTTAAATTTGCGTAATTGCAGAAGACAGTGAAACTTACTATTTCTTAAGACCTTTGTAACACTTCACAAGTAAAAATTTTATAATTTTAATTTTATTTATTTTAATTTTTGTTTTGGTCTGAGTATGAGTCTGAGTCTGAGTCTGAATCTACATCACGTTTTGAAAATTTTATAAATTTAAAGAATTTTTTAGTGTATCATTAAGGTTCCTTAAGGGTCGGCAACGCGCACGTAACACCCCTGGTGTTTCGTGCATAGACTACGGTAACCATTTACCATCACATAGGTCATATCCTTGTTTGCAACCGTAGTAGTATAAAAAAAACATGTACATCTGTGCGAAGCCTGGTAGTATATGTATACTAGCTACAATGAATATGTAATGTTGTTGCAGAGTGGGCAAGCTGAATCTGGTGGACTTGGCGGGGAGCGAGCGGCAGCGCAAAACTGGTGCCTCCGCGGACCGTCTGCGAGAGGCGTCACGGATCAACCAGGCTCTCTCCTCGCTAGGGAACGTCATCTCCGCACTCGCTGAGAACAGCCCACATGTACCCTACAGGTATATTGTGTACTAGCTGTAGCCGCGACTTCGTCCGCGTGGAATTTTACTTTATTTTTCTAACCTAAAAGAATTGTTTTAAAAGTAGACTAAGTTACTCAATTTTTCATGACCTATCTGGCAAAAAAAGTCCCGTCAAAATCGGTCCAGCCATTTCAGAGATTAGCCGGAAAAAATATACAGACAGACACAAATGGTAAAAAAATTATTTTGTTGTATATATCATATTTATATTTATATGCATGAAGCAAAAAATAGTTATTTCAATATTACAAACAGACACTCCAGTTTAGATTTATATGTATAGATTAAGTTGCCTGAAACAAGTGTTCGCAAATTGAACAGACCAGTCCCCACAAGCAGCACCCGTTCACGAGTATGACGGACAACTCGACTACTTCACAATTAAGTGGAATATTTCTAAGTGTGGCGTGATGTTCAGGGACTCGAAGCTGACTCGCATCCTGCAGGACTCGCTGGGCGGCAACAGTAAGACCATCATGATCGCCAACATCGGCCCGGCGTCGTACAACTACGACGAGACCATCACTACCCTCAGATATGCACACCGCGCCAAAGGTACACTTACCAAACTTTTTTTTAAAATAATAATTGTATGCTGCACCAGCCTCCGTTAACAGTTTACACGGGTATCAGTGGAGGATGATAGGAGAAGCATAAAGTCAGGTCAGAGAGCCCATCGTGGTAAATTCACCACAAATTTATGACGATAGTTTTCAGAAGGAATCATGTGGCACCTGACAGTGCACCACGGTGCTTTACAATGGTCCGGATATGGATGTGGACTGACATTATCCTGATCATGGAAAGTACCGTGATTTCTAAATGATCTTAATACCAATCATCCTGTATACGATATTATTAGCTGAAGATTGCTACACTCAGTATTTTCAAAGATTCTATTGACAGCTATTGGTTTTTAATGGCTCATAACGGTGCAACAGCCAGCGCTAGCGGTTTACGTTTTTTTATATTCTCTATTATCTGTTCACCCGTATTAAAAAGCGAGGACGACACGTCGATATAACTGTATCTATAATTAAAAAAACGGTGTATGTGAGCAGGGTTAGGTCAGTTAGCTTTTTATGACAAAATCAGGAATTAGCCACTATTATTTCCAGGAGGAAAATAGGTGTGTATATATAATACACACTACAATAAATCACTAGTCATCATTACTAGTAATTCCCTTCTCCAGTGGCGTAGCTACCTAGGGGCTAGGCAGGGCAGTGCCCCGAGGCCCTCAAGCTCAGGGGCTCGAACCCTTATCTCGATCGAATTGAACTTTTGAAAATTTCTCCCATTTTTATAATAAATATGACAGGCTGCAACCCGATTTTAATCATGGAAATTCAGTTGAGAGAAAATCGAAAGTTATACCTTCGGAATTCCCCTAAATTCTTTCTGTGGGTTGGCAGTGTTGTAAATTTGGAAATGGATAGCGTGCGTTTTCACAAAACTGTAATGTAGGGCCCCACTACTGAGCAGTGGGGCCCCATTTTTTGATTTGCCCCAGAGCTCTTGGTTACCTAACTACGCCACTACCCTTCCCGCACACCTTTTTGGAAATTGTTATTATTTTTGTGGAGTCTTTGTCTGATAGGAATATGACGGTGCCTCAGTAACATAAAATCGTGATGTGTGTTACAGCGATAAAGAACAAGCCGGTCCGCAACGAGGACCCGAAGGACGCGAAGCTGCGCGAGTACCAGGCGGAGATCGAGCGGCTGCGGGCGCTCATCCAGCAGCGGCGCGAGACCGAGCCGCGCGTGCGCAAGGCCCCGCGCCCGCGGCCCCGCCCGCGCCCCGCCGACGCCCCCCACGGTCAGTAGCCCCCCGCCCCCCGCCCCCCTACACCAGGCGGAGAGCGAGCGGCTGCGGGCGCTCATCCAGCAGCGGCGCGAGACCGAGCCGCGCGTGCGCAAGGCCCCGCGCCCGCGGCCCCGCCCGCGCCCCGCCGACGCCCCCCACGGTCAGTAGCCCCCCGCCCCCCGCCCCCCTACACCAGGCGGAGAGCGAGCGGCTGCGGGCGCTCATCCAGCAGCGGACCCCCCACTTTCCCTCCCGGACGCGCCATTAGTAGCCCCCTCTCACTACTGAACACCAGGCGAAGATCGAGCACGTCTATCATTTTCTACACCATCCGCCTTTGACTGACCTTGACTGACAAGTTGACGGTCCCTTCAATCAAAATATCATTAGACAGTCTCGGTGGTCCAGCGATTTAACACACCAAGCGGTGTATTGTATGTAAACCGCTGGACTCGACTTCAGAATGGACCGATACTGCAGATGGTTGCGGGGTTCGATTCCTCGCACGGCAACCTTAGTTGGTATGATGATGAAAGATGATGAAGAAAATACAGACTTTATTAGTATTTAAACATAAGTTACCTACCACTTGATACAATCTTGATGTGAAAATTAATGACAATCTTAAGTCATATTCCTCTGAATAATATATGACTAACAAATATATTTTTTTTCGATTCAATTCAATCAAACATTTGTTTCGTTATCAAATATCTCATAGTATTATAACGGACAATAATTAACATATTTACAGAAGAAGAAGAAGAAACAGTCAGCATCGAAAACGAACACATAATAGCAGAATCCACAATAGAGCAAGAGAAATGCAAGACGGAAGAGTTGGAGACACAAATCAAATCGTTAGAAGAACGGCTAGTGCAGGGCGGCGGGGGAAAGGATCTTATCAATAACCTGAACGAGAGCCAAATCATCCTGGAACAGAGGAACATGGAGATAGCGGAGAGGAAGAAGCGGGAGGTGGAAATGCAGCAGAAGATAGACCTCGAGGAGGAGACTACGGCGATTGTGACGAACACGTTCACCACTTTGCAGCAAGAGGTCGACCACAAAACACAAAGGTATGTACCTACTGTAAAGGTAAACTGGTAAAGGTATCTTACCTTAGCAGCAATATGTACCACATGTACACTTACCGTTTATTTTTTTATGAAAGACTAGCTGTTCCCGCGACTTCGTCCGCGTAAAATTTAACTTTATTTCCCTAAAGTAAAACAAATTTTCTAAAATAAAAGTAGCCTAAGTTACTCCTTATTACATCAGCTACCTGCCAATAAAAGTCCCATAAGAATCGGTCCAGCCATTTCAGAGATTAGCCAGACAAACAAGCAGACACAGACAAAAATGATGAAAAATTTTATTTTGGTGTATGTACCGTATTTATATTTATATGTATAGATAATGGAATGTTGCACTCGCCTGCGCTAATGGCGAGGCAACAGTGGAGAATGATAAGATGAGCATGAGGTCAGGTCAGTTAGCACATCGTGACAAATTCACCAAGAATTTATCATGATGGTTTCCAGATGGAACCGCGTGGAGTCGATTTGACATGGTACATTGAGATCATCGATCCCATTACTAATAAGTCCCTTTACCACACTTATTTAAGCACTATCAATTTGTTGGATGAAGATTCGTTGATTGAAGATCAAGATTGTCTGTTTGGTTGAAGAGTGTTGATTGTTGGATTGAGTAAATTTTAGATTGATTGCAAATTAAATTAGTAATTGGAATTAGTTATGGTCTGTAATGATTTGTACTGGTTTTGAGGGTGTTTCTTCTTTATCTTTTTGAAAATATCGTATAAGGAAATGATTTGGAAACATACGATTATAATAGTATAATGGTATGCCATTCACACAATTCACACAATGCCATCAATTCTAAGCAGAGTTTGTGTTCTAGGTACTAAATAAGTGATAGAAATATTTGGATGTATTTTTGTTTTGTAAATTCATGCCTACATATGTAGGAAACAGCCAGACCCATAAACAAAATAATATTCACCGTAACAAACATTTGTACCGTGCGAGGAATCGTACCTGCTACCATCTGAAGTAGGACGGATGATGATGATAATGAATTTATCCAAGATCATCGAACATTATAGCTAAGTCAGAAGCTCACAGCCGACGTTTCTTAGTGTCTTTGGGCATTGGTGTATACTCATTTTGAATTTACGTGTATATTAGAAGTGGGTTCAGATGGTACCTGTCTGGTTGCATAGATTTAGACCTATCGAGTTCGAAGTCCTAAAGTAGAGTATCGAAAAGTTACGCAGTCCAATCTGTCGGTATCTGAGAGGCGTCCACGCGGTGCAGGTTAAAAAAGTGCCTGTCGAAGTACGCGAGCCTGCGCGAGGAGATGGTGGAGCAGCGCGAGGCGCACGACGGCGAGCGGCGCGAGCACGAGGCGCTGCAGGCCGCGCTCATCGGGGAGCTGCGCCGCCGCCTGCTGCTCGCCGACAGCTTCGTGCCCGAGGCCGGCCGCGCCACCGTGCTGCGCCTGCGCTACGACGACGACGCCGAGCTCTGGCGCCCGCCCGACGCCGCCCCCGCGCCCCCGCCGCCCCCGCCGCCCCCGCCCCGCCCGCGCGCGCCCCCGCTCCGCCTGCAGCCGCTGCCCCTGCCGCCCACCACGCGCGCCTACCGCCGCCCCCCGCAGGTACAGTCTATCTAAATATATATAACTCGCAGGTGACCGACACGGTGGTCTATCACCGCACAGCCCGAACCACCGGACGGTCGAGCTGAAATTTGGCATGCAGGTAGATGTTATGACGTAGGCGTCCGCTAAGAAAGGATTTTGATTAATTCCACACCTAAGGGGATAAATTAACGCGAGCGAAGCCGCGGACAAAAGCTAATTATACATATAAACCTTTCTCTAGAATCACTATCTATTTAAAAAACCCGCTTCAAAGTCCGTTGCGTGGTTTTAAAGATATAAGCATACATAGGGACAGACAGCGACAGCGACTTTATTTCATACTATGTAATGATATTTCAAATTTCATCCCTAATATGAACTTATAACAAGTACCGCGACAGTATTAAGTATTTAGGATTCTCTTCATATTATGTTTGTTTCTTTTCTCTGAGTACATTTGCTATCAGTCCCAGCACTATGAGCGAATCTATTCTGTGATGCTGTCATGTAGAGTGACTTCCCATTGGAAACATACTCATCTGTTTGTTTAACTTCACTAATGTAATGTGTATATCTGTTTTTATTTTTGTTCTTATTATTACAGTGCCTTGTGTGTGTGTGTGTGTGTGTGCCTTTAACGTGAATAAATTTTTTATCTATCTATCTATCTGCATCCTAGAGCAACTGCCGATCTTGTAGCTCCAGGATATGATGGCGTTTTAGTTGTCTCACATGCTGATTAAAATATTATGTTAATAAACGTAGTATAATTATGTTAGTAAATTACAGTACATATCTTTATACTTTCAATTCTTATATCTATGTCCACGTCCAGATGTACTAGGTCCGCAACAGTGCAAAGATGTCCAGTGCCTCTGGAGTGGACGAGCTATAATGTTTATTAATATTAATAATAAAAGTATATCAGACTCCCGAGTCGCAGAGGGGCACATGCTCAAGGCCAAGGATTAGCCAAGAAGTCGAGCATCTTAAAACAGTTCAAACAATGCCATCTAGTGGCATAGTAAGCAGAATTTGTATTATAAATAGTAAATGACTGGCTGAAATACTTAAACCACTTTTTGTACATACAGATAATCTCATAAAAATAAAATATATATAAAGAATTCACAATCCGAATTCCTAAAGATCTGAATTACTGGAGAAAAATTCTGGATGGAAGTGGTAGATCTTCTCGGTGAGTTACCCAATTGCAAGTCGATGGGCGGTCAGTCAGTAGCCATTACTCATTTCGGTGGTCGGTGGGATGCAACTATAAAAACTTGAAAAGATCACGATGAAGATTCTTGTTACAATTATAGTTGTTCTTCCCAAAAAATAAGTGATACTGAAACGTTTTTCTCTTTAATAATATCAACGTCTGTTCTCGTTTGCAGGTACCGGAGGCACCGGTGAAGAAGGAGCCCGAGATGGAGCCGGCGCCGCGCAAGCCCACCGCGCGTCCCCGGCCCCCCACCGCGCACCACCGCCTCGGCACCGCCGGCGGACGGTAGGCGCCGACCGTCCGACACTCGCAGCCACTCTCAGCCACTCTCCGCCACTCTCCGCCACTCTGCGCCACTCTGCGCCACCGTCCGCCCAGCGCGGTGTACTCTCCGCTGTTCAATTATTCAAACTAGGAAGTGTAGGGCATGATACTTTCATTCCCATTTATTTTATTTTATTTATTTAAATGAATTTTTAATGACATATTGTAATGCAAAGGTACTAGGAGAGTAAAACCAAATAGGAGGTCAATTACAGTTGTAACCCCACACTTTCTCCCAGTGGTTCAAAGTTTGACTGAAAATCTTATATTCTAATTCTAAGGTGTTTGGAAATATTAATTTTATAAAAAAATATTTTAGCTCAAGTTTTCTATTGTACACGTAACTATTACAAACAAACAGTATCAACAATGAAATATCTTAATCAAATCACTTTTTGTTATATTGTAATGTACTAATGAAATGAAATAATAGAACAATGGAGGGTACACCGACTTCGCGACGCTCCAGTCATGTTGTACCTGCAGTCGGATACACAGGCGGCCGTGCGCCGGCGCAGCGTTGATCTCACTCGTGTTAGTGTCCAGTATAGGCGGATAATAGTCATAGATTATAATGTCTCGACCCTATCGGGCGCCATTGCGTCCACTCTGAACAAACAAGTATATTTCCACTTGTAAAGTAAGAAAATCAAATAAAATATTTTGTCAAATAATCATATATATACAAAAAATACACACATACAGACAGACTATATACGTATATAGTGTTACAAGTGGCAAAATACATTTTTGTACAACCCTCTTGTTTGTCATGGTTAAAATGGCCGCGGTGAATCTACATTTTTTTTACTGAAAGTCAATTTGGCCTATCCATGGACATAATAATCCTAGTACTTCGGAATTAATATAAAAATCACAAAAAAATCTGCTAACCCAGTATATTATGTCATAAACGTACTTATGTGTTTATGCTTTCAAGCATAGAGAATTTTGTGGTTTTGGAAACCCTTATGGACGTTTATCACCCGGAGTCCTTAGATTACGATGGGCGTACCTATCGATACAGCTTGTCGATCGTTTTGATTGTTTTTATTTTATTTACCGTTGTTGTTGTTTCTTTTTTTTAATTTAATTTTGTGCTTCGGTCGGTTCGTTTGTGTCGAAGCATGTGATATTAGGTAGTTTGTTATATTCCATATTGTAATTCATGTGAAATTTTAAAGTATTTTCAATGTAAGTATTTATAATATTTTTATGAGTCGCTAAGTAGACCGACTCGTTATATTGTTGTTCAAATGCGTTACCAAAGATAACAGTCCATTCCATGAACGAGTCCGGTCCCGACGTGTTAATGTTTATCACGATCAAGTTCCTTTATTTGTAAATTTGTTTGTGATTTTATCTTACCTATATTAATATTTATTTCAAGATACGTTTTCTAGTCAATGGCTCTTGTATACAAATATTGTAAATATATTTTAGGGATTTATAAAGTATAGATGTAATATAGGTAGGTTGCTAACGTTCGCACAATACTTTTTAAATACGTGGTGAATAAATCAATTATTTAACAATATAGTAGTCATAAACCAAATATTAATATTATTTTATTATGCCGGAATCATGTGAAATGAAATCTCCTGTAATTAAGTTTATTTGCTTCGCAAATTGTTTATATACGTGATGTATTAGATAATTATAGTAGAAACTATAATTTGCTTTCGTTTACGTATGTATGAAATTGGGAACGATGTCGATAGGAGGCAATCATGTGATATGTCAGTGGAGACCGCTAGTCAGCCGTGCCGCATACACGCTTATACTCACAAATAAAATATATAAATTTTTTTTGGTTGTTTTATTTGTCTATTTTCTACCAAATTAACCTTGCATGATTTTTTAAAGAATGTAGTTATTCATTTTCTATTGCAATACTATTTTATCCTAGGTACATTAAAACAAGTAATATCATTTTATTTATTGTGAATAGTATAAAAAATGTTAGATTTATTTTGCCTATACCTATATAATAAAAAATATTCTAGTGGTACTACTAGTAGTAATTAGATACAAACAAATAAATACATTTATTTAGAGGAAAACAAAGTAGGTACCTATCTTTATTTATTTATATAATTACTTGCATGTGCCTATTGCAATAGTGTGTATCTAAGGCATTTTAAATCCTACTACCTCCACATATTGCAGTATGTTCACACAGAAGTATAGTTTACAAGAAAATGCTTGATTTTAAACCAATTACACAATAAATTCATTTTCATAGGATGTATTTGACTGAAAAGAGAGCTACTTTTTAGTTGCCCTGTCCCACTCTTACAAATGCCAGTGTATTGCCATAGCAGTCCATCAGTTTGTGCAAAAAATATATTCAACTATAACGTTTAATGGAACTATAGTTTATTATTTATATAAAGAAATAAAAATATTCTTTAATGAAATAAATTGTATATGGGTCATATTTTTGATTCTACCACTCATTCGTAACGCAGTCTCAACTCGAGAAGATTGAATAAGAAATTTGCATGGTAGTTCTTTTTAATAAATGTTGTTCAGAATAACACTTTCAAAATCTGTGAATACAAACTGCCAAAAAACAAAGTTGACATGTGTAAATAAATAGTTACTTGAGTAACAAATAAATTAGTCATAGCTATCAGACCAGGTCGGTCGCTACAAGTAGTACATATTATCTATAAATGTAAATAATTTTTAATTTATAATTACCACCCAGAAAAGCTGTATGTAATTTATTCTCTTGTCTGGTTTTTAGACGATGAAATATATAGCATAGTGATGGACGTATATCGATGTTGAATGATTCATATATTTATTGTTGTTAACCGTTAAAATTAACTATGAACATCATCATGATCTGTCTTTTTATATATATTTTTAATGAACATGTGATGCAAAGTAAGACTGACTTATTTATTCATTAATAAGTAACTAAAGCTTTTGAAGCACATTTATTAAACGTTAAAAATATAATAAAATCAAAAGACTGCTAATATATCGCTTTTGACAGGACATTAATTAGGGACCAAGAGTAAAACTTTAACGGTTTTTATACTTTGATGATAAGTAATACCTAATTAAAAACGTATATATCATGTGAATCATCATTCTATGTATAAAGTCGAGTAGAACTTAAATGATGGTTTATTCTCTTGCCGATTTCCTTATGGGGTTGATAAAAAGAAACGTGATCTAAAAAATGGTATGATTGGTTTATTGAAAATAGCTATATTTAACAAGCTAAGAAATTTACTTTCTGTATTTTAAATTCTATCTTGTCTCGGTCGTCATTATGTGGACGGTTCGAATTAGGACGAATTTTTTTTATAATAAAAACGAATAGTACCCATATATATATAATAGTACCTTTTTTTTTATTAAAACTAAAATTTCTACATTTTATATTAAAAAAATGATAAAGACAAAAGTAATACTCAAGTAATATTTTATATAAATAATATTATAAGAAGTTATGAATTAAAAATTTAAACCATCACGTAGATGAAGTCGCGGGGAAAGCTTTTTTTATAATATGAAAAAAACACTTCATCGACTATCGACAAAGTAAGCTTTAATTAAACGCGTCACTAGTCTCCAACAAATTTAACCGTCGTTACGATTTAAAATCTTTTCGCCCTTTGTTTCGGTCGCAAAATGTGATTTTTAATATTAATATTGAAATTAATAACGCTAATGATGGAAAAATTGAAAGACTATCAAGTGTTAGACGTATTTTGCGGTGGTACGTTCTACAAAGTGAGACACAAGGTCACCAGTAACATTTTTGCATGGAAGGCGTACAATTGCTCCGCGTACTCGGACAAACAAATACAAAACATATTTGTAGAAGTGAAAACACTAAGTAAAGTGACATCGGAGAGTTTACTACGATACTACCACACCATTTTTCACGGGCCTTCCAAAACTTTGTACTTCGTCCTTGAATACATCTCTTGGCAAAGTGTACAAGAATTACTGCAGCTTTGTGAGTCCACCGACAAATATATCGCCGAGGGATTCATCTGGCAGCTATTGTTCGAGCTCGGCCGAATCTGTAAACAAATCGAGGAGTTGCAATTTACAGTGTTACAGAAATGCATCACGACTGGATCGATCTTTGTGAGCGACAGTGGAGAACTTCGGGTGAATTGCTTCGGTTTGGATACTGGGGTGAGGGGAGACGTGATGCGGCAGGTGGGAAACGTGTTGCACGCGGTTTGTTACCGTCCCGGCTCTCGCCAACACCCAATCAAGGAGTTTCATTACAGTGATGACCTTAGGGATGTGATCAGCTTCCTCACAGACGACAGGAATGTAAACTTGCGACCTGATGTCGTTCTTTACCACCCAACAGTGCTAGCAAACATAGAAACACTATCTGCACCCATCCCATTAAGTGAAATACTTGTATCTACTGATTATACATGTACTTTGTCTGATGCTAACAAATGTGACTCACAGAAGGCAGTAGACTTGTGTAGACCTGTGGAGCCACTCCCTAGAAAACATCTGAGGAATGTAGACAGCCCTATTTACTGTAATATCAAACCTAGAAGGAAGCTAGATGTAGTACATGAGGCAACAAACTCGGATTGTGGCTCTTTGTCTCCTACATTGAAAGCCTTAGCACTGGAGTTGCCTGGCTTTGTGCCTCGCAGTCGAAGACCATACAGCAATGCTCTAGATAAGTACAACGGTCCACAACAAGTCTCAGAAGACACTTTAAGCCAACAATGGATATCTCGGCTAGTTGCACTGAGGCATAGAGAGGAATCACTCAACAAAAGGGAGAGAGATCTGATCGCTAAGGAAATTGTGAACAGTCCTACCACCAAGATTGTACCTATTGATGATCCCGGCCTTGTCTGTGATAGAGAGAGTAACGGTATAACACTGCCGCCTGTGTTGACACAGGTTTCTGTTGAGAAGAATCAGTGGACGTCACGACGCCATCGGCGGTCGAGTTCGACTCGGTCCCGCCCTCGCAGGAAGAGCTACGCGTACGAGGACCTGGACAGCTCGCTGTCGGCGGACCCCGGCGACGGTAGCATGATCATAACAGCCACAAAATTCACTAAAGAGAACATGCCTCGCCGCAACATATTCCCCGATGTGTCCACCAAGAAAGTGCATTTTACATCTGCCAATCCTTTTACTGAAAGTGATGAGAGTGTGACTTTGACCTTTTACGACTTGGAGAACATAGACAGTGAAGGTTACCAGGTACCGAGGCAACAGGAGGACAAGAAAGACATCACAAAGTTCAAGTACTTAGATCCTGAGAAGTTGATCACTGAGAAGAGATCTGCTGTGAACTGGGCGCACTCATCACCTTCCAAGCAGCCTAAAGTGACAAAGAACATATTCAGTGATATCACCAATATGAGTCAGACTAGTATTAAAAAGACTCCATCTAAGTCGAGTCTTATATCTAAGGGTTCCAATACATCGAGGTGCTCCATGTTCTCAACACACAGCCAGTGGAGCATGGACTCGACTTGCAGCAAGGTGAGTGAAAATATTGCAGACAGAACTCGCTCCAGCATGCGGCAGTTCCTCACGCAGACACCAACTGTCCCTCCAGAGGTGAAAAAAACTAAAAGAAAATCTCTGCTTCCTTTTAAAACGCCATTTAAATTTAAAACTTCTACAAAAGTGTAATACTTATTCTTCATTGTTGAATGAATTGTGTTATTTAGGATCTTGAAATAGTTAATAAAATATCAGTGATCAATTTGTAAACTATTCCCACAGATTAATAATTCAAACATTAAATACTTAAGACAAAATAATAATGAATCGAGGATAATTTACTCAGCTTTTTCATAGAACTTATGTTTTTAAACTTGTATAAGGTATGTTTAAGCTTTGGTTGGCACCCTGAGATTCAATTGTATATTATAGTATTCATCTCATCATACTATACATCATAGAGATGCTATTTTTTTTATTATATGTGAACTATTTTGGTTGTGGTTACCCTTTTAGTTAGTACATAATGTTTAGTGTAAGTTCTCAGTGTATTCTTTTAGCATTCTAGATCTGAAACCAGATTATTATTGTAATGATTTGTATATACATGATACGGACACCTACCCACCCTAACCCTAGTATAGTGAAATTATATATTTTTATTTGAAATTCTGTATGCTGTTGTGAACAAATTTTTAATAAAGCCTCACAAAATGCATCTTTTAGTGTTCCATGCTGAATATACAGTAGGTTCAAAGTGTTTGCAGTGAATATATTAATATTTAAGAAAATATTTAGGTCAGAAGTATGATAATCAAGAACTTATTTTTTATCCCATATACTTCTTGTACTTAGGCAGTAGGAGTAAGTAGTCAGTTGTGGGGGGTTTCATTAGTTTAACTACCCCCTCTGACCTCAAGCACCCCTATATAGAGATTGGTTTGGGTATGAAATGTGCTTGAAATAAATTGGTTAGTAGTTTTTAATTTTAATTGCTCATACAACAGCATACTTGTAGTATAGATATGTCATATGCATATACAAATATGTGTATAAAATGAAATTAATGATTCAATACATTATTATACATTTCAATTAATGAAATTATTATTGCATTTGTAATTAGATATATTTTTCTCATATTGCTACTTATGTTAGTGAATATTCTAGTTATAAATTTTTATATATTACATTTTTTAACGGCAAATGTAATCTAAATGTATTATATCAACAGTTTGCAGGCACTGTGCAAGTTTGCAAATGCCTTTATATTAACTATTGTGATCATTTTTAGTCTTTTTTTGTCTTCCATTTTATATTATAAAATAATAATATGAAATACAAATCAAAATGAGGGCCAGTAGTGTTGTTTCTTCTTGTCATTTAAAATATGCCTCACATAGGAAATTACAGATATAGAGATTATTTTATAAAGAAAATATTATATATCTTTTGAATTTAATTTAATGTTTAGACAAAATGTATCTATATAAATAATTAGGCTATAAGTATAAAAGAAAGAATGATTCAATTGTTGCCATGAATTTTAATAAAATATTATAAAATATAAGCTTTTATATCAAATTAAATATTAGTAATAATGGTAGTAATAGTTTAAGGTAGTTATAATAATTAAATATACAGAATCTTAGTATGTGTTTTATTTTATAATACCACATAAAAATATATCACATTTTCAACTTATTAATATTGTATTTTTAACACTTTTTCTTCTTCAGTGCTTTGTCGGCGCCCTCCACGAATTTCTTAGGTAATCCATATTTTTCAATTAATAATTTCGCCACATAGTAGGTCTGCAAGGAAATTGAACAAAGTTTATTTGAATATACATAAAATATAGACTTTTAACACAAGTTTCTTGCTCATTCTTCTTGTGATGAATGTGCGTTCCGAATGAGCGGTAGAATAAAAAATATGACTATTCAAAAGTGCTTGTAATATGCTGAGCGGAGACCTAGTGGGTACTCTAATTATTAATATAAAATGTAAATTAAATTTTAAAAATTATTTTCAGTATATCAAATAAACAATTTTCTTTCTTGTACTGAGTTTATTTCAATAATATTTCTATTTCTATATATTTCACCATTCTCCTTTCATTATTATATACTTTCAAACCAAATTCATTGCTACTTTTTTTTATCTTAAAGAATGTATGATTTTAGTTTATACGGCTTAATAAGGCATACATTATGCAATCTTTATCACATGCACATTTGGGGTCTGGTTGTCAGGCACAGGTACAAGGTGCAATTTTCATAGTAATTTTGGTCTATTATTGTACTGTTGTATCTTTACATTTTTAGTTTTATTGTGTGAATAAAAACCAATTCAAAATATTAAATACACAACCAAGTGGTTGAGTAACTAAATAAAGTAGTTCAGTGGTGCTAATCAGACAGACAGTTTCTACAAGCAGCAGTCGTTCACGAGTATGACTGATGAGCCATTACTGCGCCCGAACATATTTTATGAATGAGCCAATGAGGTATGGCTAACCTGATCTCCCTGTAGCATTAACTGGTCGAACTTGGAGCCAGGCGACCTGGTGACCCCGCACGAGGCCGCCACTCCATGTTGGCACTCTTGGCTCAGTGATTGCAGGTTGAATCCAAAGGACTCGAGGTTTGATACCAGGGTAACCTATACAATAATGTTTGATAAGTAATTTGTTATATTAATTCATTTTGACAACCATAATGATTAAATTATGGTTGTCAAAAATTCATCGAAAAAAAAATTTATATAAAGCATTTATATTTGATGAGTACAAGAATTATTACATGCGATATAATATTTCATAGCTATTATTTCAAACTAGCTGTTCCCGCGCCTTCGTCCGCGTGGAATTTAACTTTATTTTTCTAAAATAAAAGTAGCCTAAGTTACTCCTTATTACATCAGCTACCTGCTAAAAAAAGTCCCGTCAAAGTCAGTCCAGCCATTTCAGAGATTAGCCAACTAGGAACTAACAGACAGACAAAAATTGTAAAAAATGTTATTTTGGTGTATGTATCGTATTTATGTAGTAAAAAACTTATTTCAATATTACAAACAGACACTCCAATTTTATTTATATGTATAGATTAGCATTATAAATGTATGTCTAAGTCAAATTGGAATTTATTTTAAAGTTTACAGTTAGTTTAACTTTATAATATTGTAAAGGACGAGTTTTACATGGCATATATATAAATCTGAAATCATTATTCTTTTTATAAATATTTATAAATCAAAAATAATTTACTTATGTCAAATTAAGTCACGTCTAGATTTGTATTAACATTTTTTCAATACCATCCAGTTTATGGGACATGATTATTATTTAATTGTAGTGTCTGCAAACCTTTTTGTTGCCGCTCCTGGTAGCAACTTGCATTTTAATTGGCTCCAGTTTGGATTTAATGAGCTTGACGCTGCCGTCTGCGAACCGCATCTCTGTACTCGACGTCATCTTGTTCTGTACGCCTGACATCAGCTCTTCCCACTTTATGTGATCCTGGTCATTACATACATAAAACAAATCTTGAAGTATGCACATTATTACATAGTATAAGATTAATTCGCTGTCGCTGTCTGTCCGTCCCTATGTATGCTTGAATCTTTAAAAGTACGCAACGGATTTTGAAGCGGTTTTTTTTTAATAGATAGTGATTCTAGAGGAAGGTTTATATGTACAATACATGTACACCCTGGCGAAGTCGGGGCGAGTGGCTAGTATCATATAAATGTATAGGCATTCACTGACCATACCCAGAAATAGAAACTATTTAAAAACAACTGTATCTTATCTTAATAGTAATATAAACGCGAAAGTTTGTGAGTATGGATGTTTGTTACTCTTTCACGCAAAATTTACTTAACGGATTTTAATGAAACTTTACAATAATATAGCTAATACATGAGAATAACACATATGGTATAATTTAAAACGCAACTTCGTCTGCGTTTCATTTCCTCACATTTTCCAATATTTTTCATTGCAGCTCCTATTGGTCGTAGCGTAATGTTATATAGCTTAAAGCCATCCTCGAGAAATGGACTATCCAAAACAAACATATTTTTTCAATTCGAACAAAAAGTTCCTGAGATTAGCACGTTCAAACAAACAAATAAACTCTTCAGCTTGTGTACTGAATTCCATAGCACATTGGTTTACGTACCAGTTCAGGTTTGCTGACAATCTTCGACAGCAGCGCGTCCAGCGTGACGGCGCCTTTCTGCTGCGAGGAGTTGAGGTTCCTCGACTTGACATACTCCGTGAGGGTGGAGCGGACCTCCGCTGGAGTCAATGGTGTGCCTTTTCTGAGGAGTAAAGTATGCTTGTGTTGGAAATTAAACCTCCTTGTTAATACGAAGGGCGGGTCCAGCTTTGGCGCCAGGAGGGGGTCACATAGTCGTGGTCAAGTCAAGAACTTAAAATTGAATTTTGATAATATTGAAGGTATGTAGTTACATAAAATCTGTATGGTGACAAAATATATAAATAAAATCATTATGTTCTATTAGTGGTCCACCTAAGTTCTGGAATCAGCTCAGGTGGGTCATGGGTCATGACGCACCATGACCCCCCTGGATCCGCCGTTGGTTAATACTTTTTTATAGCCATATACTTTTTAAATGTTCCTGTCAATGTTCTTCTTTTGTTTTTTGTTTCAATTCATCTTTTCACAATATACGGAAGCAAATTATTTTTATCCATAATTACCTAGTTTTATTACCATAATAACCAACTGAGAAATCTACTATACGGGGAGTATTATCGATTTATCAGTTGGTTATAAATGAACTTTGAAATATATATATAAATAAAAATGGAGTGTCTGTCTGTAATATTGAAATAACCGTTTTTACTACATGCATATGAATATAAATACGGTACATACATCAAAATAACATGTATGTCTGAAATCGCTGGACCGATTTTGATGGGACTTTTCTTAGCTGATGTAATAAGGAGTAACTTAGGCTACTTTTATTTTAGAAAAATAAAGTTAAATTTCACGCAGGCGAAGTCGCGGGAACAGCTAGTCATCTAATAAAAAAGAAACTGACTTGTGCGCGGGGAACAGTTCAGCGACGGCGGCCGTCACGCAGAACATCTCTCGCACGAGCGGCGGCTGGGCCGGCGCGTGTGTGGGTGTGGTCCGCGTGGAGGTCGCCCGGACGGCCGCGTGTGCGGCTACTAGCGGATGCGCCGCGTTGAGTGCCACCACCGCGTCCACGCCCTTCTCTATCTCGCGCACCTCCAGCAGACCTTGCTGTAATGCATCATCAACATATTGTATTTTACGATGTACAGTAACTACTAAACATTGTCTGTCTAATTATAAAAAGACTAGGTGTCCCGGCAAACGTTGTTTTGCCTTATAAATTAATAACGCTATAAAAAAATAGGGGTTGGTGATAGAAGGGTGAAAATTTAGGATTGTATGTATTTTTGTATGTTGTATCATAAAATAAACTAAAAATTTTGTCTAAAAAATAAAAAAAACATTTAGGGGTGGACTACCCCTAACATTTAGGGGGATTAAAAATAGATGTTGGCCGATTCTCAGACCTACTCAATACGCTCACAAAATTTCATGAGAATCGGTCAAGCTGTTTCGGAGGAGTATGGGAACGAAAACTGTGACACGAGAATTTTATATATAAGATATAGATATATTGACGGCCTTGGTGGTTTAGTGGTTTAGTGCAACGCTTTACTTCCGATAGTCGCGGGTTCGATTCCTCACACGGTACAAACATTTGCTTGCCTGATGATTCACCGAGGTCGCCTATACATATGTATGCATCGAACCTGCTGCATGCTTTCTAAGAATTTCCCCATCTTCTTGTAGCTGGATTTCTTCACCTCCAGAGTTCGGTCTGATGGACACAGGGACATCAGGTGATTTCTGTAATCGACAAACACCTTCATATGTAATTAGAATTATAAATACCGTTTGTACCGTGCGAAGAATAGAACCCGCGACCATCTGAAGTAAAGCGGTCTGCTAAACCAGTATACCACCATGGCTGTCTAGCCTTTTGTAGATTTCGAAATGTGACACCACGACACTTATGATTACTCAATTCTCGTTAAAACTGGGATGGTTAGACGAGATTGAGTATATACTCAATCTCGTCAACCCATCAGATTGTCCTCGACGAGGTTCCCCTTAGGAAGCAGCCCATCGTGACAAATTTACCAGGACTTTATAATGATGGGCTGACCTCATGCTAATTATATCATCCCCTACCGGTGACCCACTAGCGTAAACCGTTAGCGCAGGCGGGTGAACCATCCCATTATCATCTATAAAAAAAATCACATATGGTCGTCTCATCTCCCCAGTGTGATGTATAAAATAATAATAATAATAATAACTCTGGTCCTAAGTTAAGCAGAGTTAGTGTTATTGGTATAACAAGTGATATTAATACATAGATATTTTTTTTATAAATAAATAGATACTTAATATCAGTACATAGAAAATATAAAATGTTTATACTATGCGGAAGGAATCGAACCCGCGACCATCGAAGAAAAGCTGTGTGCTAAACCGCTAGATCACCGCGGCCGTCCTGGCGTCTAATAGATAAATTTATGGTAATTAATGGAGCTTACTTGTATAGTAAATTGGTTTTGAGCGGTAGCTCTATGCGCTTGCTCTCTAGTTTGATGAAAGTCAGGAGGCACCACTGTAGCAGCCCGTCCATATCTGCAGGTATACTAGGCTCCTCCACTTGGGGACACTCTGGAAATTATGATAAAACTCTTAAAATTAACTGATGCTTATCGCTACCTTCTAGCATCGCACTGCTTGCCATCATCAGGGAAATCTTATCTCTCCCTACACGCTGGAACCTAAGTGGTCTCGGACAGTGTCGTTTCAGAGGAGCTTCCTCCTAGAGATTTGCTAACTCGTAATAAACATAACTCGAGTTTAATCGAGTTTAAATTCAGGTAACTCGAGTTAAATCGAGTTGAAATTCAAGGAACTCGAGTTGACTCAAGTTACCTGGAATAAACAGTTCTTATTTTGTTTTTTTTTTTATTTTTTGAACAAATCTAATGTTTTTCGCGGCAGCTAGCCTTGAAAGCTTCACCGAACCATAGGGGGCGAGTAGAAATGGCATACGCATAATCATTTTAATGACAGTTCTTGGGAAATTACAGCATGGGGTTACTCAAGGTTATATTAAGGTTTCTTAAAAGTCGGCAATTTAACGGTCGCACGTTACTCCCCTGGTGATTCAGGCGTCCATAGGTTTATATAATAATTAAACGAAAAAACATACCTGTTATAATACTATCCTCATTTTCAATTACTTCAGTATTATCTACGGTTTCAGTGTGTGGTATTTCTGGTATTAATTTTGGCTCATTTGGTACCGGCGCGGGCGCTTCCGTTTGGTCCATCTGTTTTGTTAAGCTTGGCCATTCTTCTTTTACATTTAGTTGTATATTTAACTGTGGAAAAAGCAATACAGTTACGATGATTGCTGTCCCCAAGTATCGTTTAGAAAAAGTCAATAGGTCTTTTATGGGAATGGGTATAAAAAAACACAATAAGATACAAAGGATATATTGGAATTACCCTTAAATAAATTCAAAACATCTGTTAAATAATATTTACTGAGCAAAGCCTATTACTCGCTAAACGATTACTTGAATGACGATCGTGCATGGCAATAGTTGGTCATGAACGGGATTTTCATTTAATGTTAGACATAGACACCTATATAAATACATATACATTGTAAATAAACTGGCTTTTAAAAAAATAGTAATTCAATTGAGTTTCTTGTCAGTTCTTCTCAATTGGATCTATATACCGAACTGGACGGTAGGGAAAAAAGAATATAATGTAAAAACTTGACGTGCATAAGCGGCTAAAATGTCCTACATGAATAAATGATTTTTGAATTTGATAATGGAATTGTAAAACAATTCTTGTGCTAAAATTGTATGATACAGGTATTAGAAAGTGGATTAGTGCCCACGGAAGTATGAGAGGCAGAGTCAAAATCTAATATATTTAATAGAATTAGGTATTATTTTGTGGAAGACTATTTCACTACTCGATGATTTATATTATTTTGTTCAATTCCGCTGGCTAAAATTAGTTACAATATTTCGACATAGATGGCGCTCTAGTGTTAAGTGATTGAAGCGCATTTACTTTTTTTTATTCCTGATTGTTGTAATGGTAGTCTTTAATACAGATACGTCAAATCTATACCGGTGTTTTAATTAATAACAAATTAGGAAGTTAAACAAACACGCTACAATTAGCACGTGTGAGACCACAAATATTCAGTGCGGAAACTTGACTATCCGTTAGTACCTTCTCTAATATAATAATAATAATCTCAGGACAATTCATAAAGCGCCATCTAGTCCCAAGTTAAGTTAGCTAAAGCTTGTGTTATGGGTACTAGATAACTGATACATAGATATATATTTTTTTCTCTAAAGGTGATCAAATTCCAATTGTTATTGAATCTATCCATATTGCGTCGTGTTTTGCTTCTGAACGAGGCATCTTCTGGCATTGAATAGTTCGGATCAATTCGCAGTTTGGTCGCCGAAGAGTTAATATAAATTCATTAAGAAAATAAAATAAATCGGTTAAATAGCAAAATCGAAAAATCATTTTAACATTTATTCACGTAGGATATTTGAGCCGTTTATACAGATGAACTGGAAAAAAACCTAATTGATTGTTTTTTAAAGTCAGTTTATTTACATTGTATAGTTATATCTATAGGTAAATATCTATAGATAGTAGGTTAGTGTATATCTATAGGTGTCTATATCTAACATTAAATGAATATCCCGTGCATAAACTATTGTTATGCACATTTTTTTTCCGTACTACTCTAATGCTGTTGGCCGCAGCTGGCCTTTACAGCTTCACGAGTGAGCGAGTGCAGATGGCACTCCAAACTAAGGGAAGGTCTTATGGAGCGGCTGAAGATCAACTTCCACCTGACGGATAGAACTTTAGTCTGAGGGCGCCGCTAGGGGTTCGAACCTCGGCTCAGGCCGTCGTAATTCGACCCCCGTTTGAATTGGACGGGGGATCGATGGAAGGGGTTATATTTATCATTTAGTGAGCAATAGGCTTTGCTCAATAAATCTGATTTAATTTCATTCATTCATAATTTAAGAGCTACGCTCTTGTCGGTGGAGCTCTTGCCACTTTCCGCGATCTTCCATCATGCTCTTTAATTCTTGATACGACACGACTCCCATTTTGTCCTCAATTTGTTTGATGTAGCTATTCTTTGGTCTTCCCCTCCCCCTCTTTCCTTGTATTTTCCCCTCAATAATAATTTTCATGAAATCATCGTGCCGTATCAAGTGTCCTAACATTTTTCCTCGTCTGATTTAATAAATGTTTTAAATTTATTTAATGTAATTCCAGTATATCCTCGTGAGCTCATCATTATGTTTATCATTCTAGTTACACAAATAAAAAAGGAACTAACTTGACTAATATCTGTAGCGAGGCTGTCAGGGGTAGTGTTACCATAGGTTGGAGGTCCAAGCTTCGGTCGCTCAACTTTGTCAAACTTTGTTTCTTTGCATAAAAGGTCTCCATACACTTGTATAGATTCTAAACATGTACCCCTGAAAATTATAACAAGGTTGTTAATTATAGCTTTACTAAAATGAATAAATTTATGGTAAATAAAAGCTTTACCTCTGTCAACGAAGTTGAAAAAACAGCTGGCGCCTACTGACATTGATATAGCCGTTATTCTGGTCTGCTTATGACCACAGCTAGTGCAACCTAGCCGAAACGTGTCGAGAGGTAAATACTTTTATTTACATAAATATACATAACGCGTATTAAACACTGGTGTTTTAAGTAGTCATGCTCACTAAAATGTCCAAACTTGTGGCGGCGTGGTAGGCCGGGTCATTGGGCTCCCTAAAATATGGTCGAGCGCAGTGATGGCTGGCTCAATCGTTATAGTCGTGAACGAGCGCTGCTTGTAGGGACTTGTCTTGTGTCACTACGACTGATTTAATCTTATTATATATTTATATTTGACCCTGATAAATTAGTGCTGGTTGGTAGTTTGTATTCACACGTTTCGACTTGTAAATGTAAACTTACAAGGATTTTTTGTAAGAGCAACACACAAGATTCTTGCTCATTCTTTTTGTGATCGAGCGTTAGATACTGGTCTGCTCTAATCAAATCACTATGACTGATTTCCTTTTATTAATCGTTTAACCAGTTGTTGTGTATTCAATATTTTTTCTATTTGATTATTTAATTGAATTAGTGCTAATCTGTAGTTTGTATTCACACACTTAGACTTAAATTGTAAAGTAAGAATAAAATTATTTAAAAGAGCAACACACAAGTTTTTGCTCGTTCTTCTTGTGATGAGACAGCTTTCCGAATGAGTAGTAGATTAAAAAAAATGTGATGACTAATCAAAAGTGCTTCAATGTAAGTATATTTGAATAAATGATTTTCTATTCTATTCTACACGAAAGTTAAAAAAAATTAATAAACGTAAATTAAATTTCTTACTTATTTTTAATTATTAGAGATAGTTTGATTACGGCGTATGGAGGCATAACTCCTTAAATATACATGCAGTGAACCAGGCTATCATATGTATTTTGTGATGTCTGAAGTATTTCTATAGGCTACCATTACCACTGTTTATTTACTTGTTGTTGGTTGAGTCATTGAACTTGTGTGAATTATAAGCACGTGATATAAAAAATTGCATTTTTCTAATTACATATACAAAAGTAAACTCGCAAACCAACATCATTACATAGTATAAAATAAAGTCGCTGTCGCTGTCTCTCCGTCCCTATGTATGCTCTTTTAAAACTACGCAACGGATTTTGAAGCGGTTTTTTTAATAGATAGAGTGATTCAAGAGGAAGGTTTATATATATAATACATGTACACCCGTACGAAGGGCAGGGCGATTAGCTAATTAACAATAATACTAAAAAATATAAATGTTTACGTTCTGCTAGAATTAAACATGTGACAGACAGTGCAGTTTCAGAGGAGATTCCACCATAATACACTTAGATTATGAAATTTAAATTGCTTGCAGAATTTCTCTCGTCAGAGTACAGCATAGGGTTTTGAAGGAGGGTATATAAATGTTTGTTAAGGGTCGGCAACGCGCACATGACTCTGGTGTTTGAGGCGTTCATAAGCTATGGTAACTGTTTACCATCCGATGGGCCGTATGCATGTTTGCCACCGTCCTAATATAAAAAAAAAACAGGTGGTATGTTAACAAATACACCGATTAATTGTCAGATGAAGTAATATCAACTCACGCAGCTCTGAGCAGCATATCACCACTGGAGAGCATGGAGCGGCCCACAATAGCAGCAGCGCTATTGTCCAAGGTGCATGCTGCTAATAATGAGCCACGGGCAAATCTTGGAAAGCCCACACCACCCGGTGGCAGTGTCACCCCGGGCAGGTATAATGGAGCACCACCCAGCACCTGAAACAGTCACAGTAGAGCATTTTTTTTGTAGAATAGCGAACAAGCTGACGGCTCGACTTATGTACCACATCATTCATCATTCACTGAACCCATGTTCCCAGTTTCACTGCTATATCTCACCTACCAATAGAAACACAATCCGTCATACTCGTGAACGGGTGCTGCTTGTGGGGACTGATCTGTTCAAGTTGCGAACACTGATAAATTTTTTTGTTCTTTGTGATAGCTGGTGGTCACTCTATTCTCCAAATTTGAATTTTAATGACTGTGTATTATTATAAATATGATCCACTCTTATTTGAAACAAATACGAGCTGAGTTTCTTCTTTTCAGTGTCATCTCGATACCATTCCGAACTGACGGTAGATTTGATATATCATAAGAGTCTGTAATAGACCTACATGAATACAGATATTTTGAATTTGAATTTGAATTTCTTGAAATAACTTAACTTTTTTGCTAAATAAATTTATATTATTACTTATTATAAATTTACCTTCTGATACAATTTTTTTATATACCGAGTCCCATGATAAATTAACATTCTTCTATGTTATTGGTATTTAAATTGCATGGAAAAAGGACTTACTTTTCAACAGTCATTTAAAAATAGATTGAACTATTTGCATATCATTGTTTACCACTTAATAAATTGAAATGTGATAGGTTATCTATAAGAGAATATTATACATTTGTTAAACACCTTCTTATATAGTGTTTGTTGCATTAATAGCATGCAACAAAGAATTCTATTATTATTGGAGTATAGACAGTCTATATCCATTGGAGTGAAATTACCTTAGCCAGCACTGGCGTGTGAATTGTGATGGTTGGAATCAGATCAGGGATCTTCCACAGGGCGCACACAGTTGGCACTAATTGTTCTTCAGTTTCAATCATGATAGGTAGACCGTCCACCACATATACACCCACTGTTTCACCAGAATGCAGCACCAACTTCATACAACTGCTAGTAGACTTCACTGGCACCAGGTCTTTAACTTTTTCTTCAGTAACCCCCGGAAAATAATGTAGTATTCGTTGAGCGAGGTGTTTCCTGAAAATTACGAACAGGTGTAATAAAATTAGTCTTTGTTTGTGAACTCATAAAGAGGTTAAAGAGAAATGCGTGTACTTTTCTGTATTCTTCAGTGTATTATTTGATTTTAATTTATAAGGTTTAGCAAACATCGTAGATAATTTTCTAATACAACTTCCAGTCGAATATTCTTAGAAAAAAGCTTTTTACATGCTTTCATAAATCGATGTAGAAGTATAATAAAATTTAAATACAGAAAATTGGCAGATTTTTATTTACAGTATTTTTACCACCTGACATTGACAATGACATTGACAACGACAACAGATAAGACAGCTCTCGACAGAAGAACAGATTACAAAATGCAAAACAGTATCTATCCACAAATTTTTATCCCCTTGAAGGCTGCGGATGAACGATGTATCGAAATTTAGTCATTTTGACAATGCATGTCTGAATGACAAAATTTTAAATTAAAAAATTATGGCTATATACAGTTACTATCAGATCGTCTTGTCTTGCATTCAATGCATAATTTTGAAAACCTTTACTTAACAGAGACTTTTAGTTTAAATGTTCTGTTATGGTCAGACTGCCTATTTAGTCTGCGTACAGAAGACAGATTGATAATAAGAAAGAGTCCAGTAGTACCTAAGGTAAAGAATAGATTTATTTACATAAAGTATACCTACCTACTCCTGCAGAAACGTATCTTGCAACTTGATAATTGTAACCATTTTTTTCATTATGAATCTTTTGCTAGGTAGATACGGAAATCTCTTTGCCTCTACTTTTTTTTTAAATGGACGGTAATAATGCATTGCATTCGCCTGCGCTACTGGTATACGAAGGCGGGGTGCTAGTGACGAATATATAGGAGGAATATAGGAATGAAGATGAAGTCAGGTTGGTAATCAATTGCGCACATAACTAATTAAATCAAAATTCGTAAGCCCTTTTCCATTTTAACACCGACGCTTTCCAATAACAATATGTAGTAAAAAACATTTATTTAGCAGTAAATACACAAGTTTCAGTAATACTTACAATATTTGTTTTTTATATTCTAAGGTAAAGTAAGGTAACGTTGAATGTAACTCCCACATCGATACGTATAATTAAATTATACTGACTGACTGGGTCGTCCGCTGGTCCGTTCTGGACCGCTGGGTGCGGGTCTCGAGCCTTAGCTCATTGTCCGAGCATTCTACTGGGGTGAAACACCCCAGCGTCAGCGTTTACCGGCCGGCCGGAAGCCGGCTACTTTACAGCAGCCAGCTGTGTCATTTATGTAAATTATACTACAGCGCAGATTTCCCGACACGATCCTTCATACAGATAGCTAAAGAAAATAAAAATATCAGGAATAAGAACTATATTATAAATAGGTATAACTTTTATTAATATTATTTCTTTATACTTTACTATTAGTATGTAATATTATGTTATCTGTGCTATTAGCAAACCCCCTTCGAATGATTCACCGTCCAATTCAAACGTAGATCGAAATTACGACGACCTGAGCCGAGGTTCGAACCCATATCGGTGGCCTCAGACGTCGCCCAAGTCGTATCCGTCAGGCGGGAGTTGGCCTTCAGCCGCTCCATAAGTCCTTCCGCGGGGTTGGAGTGCCATGCACTCGTCCCCTGTAGTTCGGTGAAGCTGTAAAGGCCAGCTGCGGCCAATATCATTAGAGTAGTCCGAAAAAAAGCAAATAATCATCATACCTAAGAGATCCCTTTAACTTCATATTGTTCTTTGATTAATAGAATCATAGTTCCCTTCATACTTTCTGAAGATATGTATGTGCATTATTAAGTATATGTATGTATACGTATGTTAATATCTAAATATATATAACTCAAAGGTGACTGACATAGTGATCTATCAACGCACAGCCCAAACCACTGTACGGATCGGATTGAACTTTTGGCATGTAGGTAGATGTTATGACGTAGGGATACGCTAAGAAAGGATTTTGATTAATTCTACCTCTAAGGGGATCAATTAACGCGAGCGAAGCGGCGGGCAAAAGCTAGTTTTATTATATATATTAATAGGTATATTATGTACAATTGTATATGTACATATTTATGTTCATTATGTGCACCACCTACCCCTTTCTTATCTTAATGTTACTTTCTCTAAGTACTCTGGAAGAGATTTCTTAGTGATGTGACCGCCTTTCGTATCAGTTTATGTAATATATCATTTTGTGTGTTTTCTTTGTCTGGTGCAATAAAGAGTTTAAATAAATAAATAATTAAGAGGGCGATAGATATATGACCTGTATATTATTTTTTTTTCGGACTACTCTAATGCTGTTGGCCGCAGCTGGCCTTTACAGCTTCACCGGACGTTAGGAGGCGAGTGCAGATGGCACTCCAAACTCGCAGAAGGACTTATGGAGCGGCTGAAGGCCAACTCCTGCCTGACGGATACGACTTTAGTCTGAGGGCACCACTAGGGGTTCGAACCTCGGCTCAGGCCGTCGTAATTTCGATCCCCGTTTGAATTGGGCGGGGGATCGATCGGAGGGGAATACCTGTATAATATACATACGTTTGGTAAGTGGTGTAATCAGGGCAGCCGGCGACAGCGGTGCTAGGTATCGGAGGTCGAAGCTGACAGACACGCTGTTGTCTCACGCAACGTACGCCATTGCTTTTAAAAAACCTCACTTTAACATGAACACTATATCAATAAATAACAAAGCGATGAACTGAATGTACTGACAGAAAAACTTTAACTATAGCAAATATTGATCTCTTCTAGGGATAAGTCCACCTTTGCTCACATTGTCTCTAAATTATAATATCTTTGTATTATCTGTGCAATAAAGAATATAAACATTATGTTATCTGTGACAGATACATAGCCTAGTGTGGGGTCATAGATAAAATGTTACTAAAGTTAAGTTTGCGAACTAAAAGTTATTCTATTCTGAGTACACTCGGAATTTAGGATTAATGCTTGAAAAATCATTCTATTCATTCATAAATAATTGAAGAGCCACGCTATATTGTCAATGGAGTTCATGATAAATATAGTTCTTAAATGCAAGTGAATTATTTTTTAATATTTATCATTTAATCGTCATAAACATCATCATCATCATCATCATCGTCATCAACACCTACAAAGTTTATTCTCTGACCACACTGAAGGTCTGATACGGACTGGAGATGAAATATAAAAAAAAATTTTTTTTAATATCATATTACTACTTGAGAAAGTTGCTCTGTATTTCAAACACTGAATACAATAGCAACACACTAGTTTCTTGCTAAAAAATAAGTATGACTATTGAAAAGTGCTTAAATATAAGTTTCTTTGAATAATGGATTTTCTTAATTAATAAATTATATATTAAATTTTTATATAGGCAATAATATTATTTATGCTTCTATTAAAATGATTATTAGATTTACTATTATTTTATATATATTGCTTTTCGACGCGTATTTTCTTATTGTACTTGTATCCACCACTCCACAATTCCTTTCAGTCACTCAAAGGTTGACTGGAAGAAATCCCTCTTTTGGGATAAGTCCGCCATTGTACCATTTATTTATTTTTTTAAGACATATGTATCTATTAATATTTTGTACAATAAAGAATTACAAACAAACAATATTAATAAAATTTAAGTGTCTGTTTGAAATAACCGTTTTTTACTACATGCATATGAATATATATATACGGTACATATACCAAGTTAACATTTTTTTATAATTTTTGTCTGTCTGTCTGTCGGTATGTTTGTTCCAGCTAATCTCTGAAATGGCTAGACCGATTTTGACGACACTTTTTTTGGCAGGTAGCTGATGTAATAAAGAGTAACTTAGGCTACTTTTATTTTAGAAAAATAAAGTTAAAAACCACGCGGACGAAGTCGTGGGTACAGCTAATTAATAATATATTAAATAATTAATTCCAATTGCGTCGTAGATCAGTAATATGAATATTAAAAACGTATCGGTGTAAACAAAGACCCACACTGCTCACCCACGTGGCGGTGCAGGAATTGCACCGATCTATTCTAATATTATGAAGCCGAAGAGTTTGTTTGTTTGTTTGAACACGCTAATCTTAGGAACTACTTGTGCGAATTGAAAAATTATTTTATCTGTTGGATATCTATCTTGGAGATATAGGAATCACACCATATAATAAAACACAATGGGGAGCACAAATTCAAAGCCTCGCAGCGAAACTGAGTTCAGCAGCTTTTGCCGTGCGTAAGGTTGGACAGTACACAGATTTTAGTTATTTTTTATAGTTTAGTCTCTTATGGAATATTATTATGGGGAAAAGCGGCAGATATTAAAAATATATTCATATTACAAAAACGTGCCATTCGAGCGATCTACTGTATGAAGAGTCGTGACTCATTAAGAGAGAAATTCAAAGAGGCCGAGGGAGAAAATATTCTCACCGTTGCTTCTCAATTTATATATTCAAATATCCTATATGTTCATAAAAATCTTGACTTATTTCCAAAAAACAGCAATATTCATAATATTAATACTAGATATAAAGACAAACTTGCTGTCCCTAAGTATCGTTTAGAAAAAGTCAATAGGTATAAAAATTTACAATAAGATACCAAAGGATATATTGAAATATTTACTGAGCAGAGCCTATTACTCACTAAACGATTACTTGAATGACGAGCGTGCATGGCAATAGTTGGTCATGAACGGGATTTTCATTTAATGTTAGACATAGACACCTATATAAATATACATGGTAAATAAACTGGCTTTAAAAAAAAAGTAATTCAATTGAGTTCCTTGCCAATTCTTCTCAATTGGATCTATATACCGAACTGGACAGTAGGGAAAAAATTAAAACTATAATGTAAACATTTGACGTTCATAAGCGGCTAAAATGTCCTGCATGAATAAATGATTTTGATTTTGAATTTGATAGTCCATTTCTCGGGGAAGGCTTTTGTTGTACCTGGTTAATAAGATATATATTTTATATGATAAATTTGTATTTGAATATATAGTTCTTTAATTATTAGATACATTCTTGTTTTAATACATCACTTCACATTCTGTTGTCAATACTATCCGAATATATATATTTTCTCCGTATACCAAATCTTTTGCCTTTTACCTATACAAATATAAAATAAATAATAATAATAATAATAAAAACACTTTACATCACCCTTCAAAAAGCTGCCATCTTAAATACCTATCGTACAGTCCGAAAATTTTTCGAAATCGATGAAAATGATATAA